CCCACCCACCCTTTGCATGCATTTCCGGGTTGCTACAGTGACACGTCAGCTACAGTGCCACGTCAGCAGTGCCACGTCAGACACAGTGACACGTCAGCTACAGTGACACATCAGCAGGCCACGTCACACAGTGACACGTCAGCTACAGTGCCATGTCAGCAGTGCCTTGTCAGACACAGTGACACATCAGCTACAGTGACACATCAGCTACAGTGACACGTCAGCTACAGTGACACGTCAGCAGTACCACGTCAGACAGTGCCACGTAAGCAGTGCCACGTCAGCAGTGCCACGTCAGACAAAGTGCCACGTCAGCAACATGACGGGCCTGCCGGGCCAACTGGCCAATGAGCCCATTGCCGACTACACAAAGCGCTTCCATGCTCAGCTCGCTCTAATCGAGGCTGAGGAACAACGCCAGCTGGCAGCCAAGGCTGCCCAGCTACAGGCTGAAGAAGCGGCAACAGCAAAGAAGCTGCGGCTACAGGCCGAAGCAGACGCAGATGCCCAGGCTCGCCGCAAGGAAGCCCAGGCTCTGCTGCAGCGGCATGAAGCCAACAGCATCGAGAAACTCAAGTACTGGCACTTTGAACCGAACGGCGACGAGCCAACACCGGAAGAGCAGCATAAGGAGTTCATGGCCAAGCTCGTGAGCAGGTTGGTTTACACATGTAACCAACTACAGTCCGAGCTGGCAAACCTCCAGCGGGCCGTGCGGAATCATAAGACTCAGCACGAGGATGCCACACGGGCACTGGACGCCCGTGTACTGGGCCTGGAACAGGCTGTACCAGGACCAGATGCTGGGGCTTCCAGCAGTGCATCCTCTAGCCGCCAACTGGAGGAACGCGTTGACCACGTAGTGGAAATGCTCGGCGACATCAGCACCTTCGCTGCGCCGACCACCATCAGCAGTCAGCTGCATACCTTGAAGACCGAGGTCCAGCGGTTGCAGTCGACGAACGCGGATGACAATCCGAAGATGTACAAGATGCCAACTTTCCAATTGGACAAGTTCGACGACTACACACAGCAGGATCCGGTCCTCTGGTGGGAAGCATTCACAACGCAACTCAAGATTCTGCCCGTAGCCAAGCATGCGTACATCGGCGCCCTGTTCCTGAACTCAAAGGGCGGATGCCAGACCTGGTTGAGCCACCTGGCAACCTCCCACGGCGTCAACGTACCAGACTTGAAGGACAAGATCACATGGGAGGAACTGACACGGCACTCGCCATCAACCGTCTGTTCACCATGTCACAGGGCAACACTGCAACACGGGATTGGCTCACGGAGTGGCAGAAGATTGCGGCGGTGCCCAATGTGGAATTGGCATTCACACATCTACGCCGCGAGTTCTACAACAGGTCCTGTGCGGCATTGAGCCAGGCTCTTGGTGATCGCGAGTAGTACTCCACTTTCGCCGAGATTATCGACAAGGCGAGAGAGATCATCAAGACCAACAGGTCAGCTGCACACGAGAAATCAACATGGCAGCCGACCTATGTGGAGAAGGTACGAACTGGTCCGCGACAGCAGCACTTCGCTGCAGTCCAG